ATGCTATTATTTAAACATAGATAATTAAAAAATCTCATGGGGCACCTACGAACCTAAAGTTTGCATGTCCCCCAATTGAGAACCATTGATCTGTGGGTCATTAAAGGATGGAGTCTTTGGTAATAATAATGAGATTTTTATGCTCGTCACTGGACAAGCTGTTAGCGTCAGACAAACATCTTGTTCCACACTGAAGTATGGGTTTCTTCTTTGGTGTGGGACATGGTTCGGTGCGCTGGTTCGGGGTTTGACACCCTTTTAGGGGGGACATATGAGTGTGCGTGCCACAGCATTTATAGTTTGCTTTGACTTTGTCTCGATTTGACCTTGTTTTCTTTGAAAAAAGTGGCTCAGATGTCCAAGTGTCACCACTGCCTTCCAGGTAGACAGTGGACTAAAAGAGGAATTCATCTGAGCTTTAAGTGTGGAAACCTATTCCTGGGCTGGTTGATGCAGAGGCTCCTGCACGTTCAGGTGTTGTCACTGCAGAGCAGTGAAATCAGGGCATTGAGCCCCAGGGTATACAGTGTGTAACTGCACCTTGGCTAAAAACCGCCCCCAGTTTTCTCTTTAACTCTGACTTCCAGTCTCCCATGACATGTCTTTAAATCAATGACACAAAATCAAAGACATCGAGGGAGGAATTAAATACGCTCCACAGTATTTTCATCTCCACAGCAAACATTCAGACCAGGCTGAAATGACAGTGAATAAAAACACTGTTCCCATTATTACTAATAGCTTAATACAAAGTCTAATGCCTAAATAAATCTGCTCAAAGAGCTGTCAGAACAAATAATATATTGTACTAATGTAAGAATAACAAAACATCAACCATGTCACAGGAGAATAGCAGGTTTGAATCCCGCCTTGTGGTTTCTTTAGCAAACAAAAAGATTTCCTCTAGTCCCCAGCTGCTTCTGCGAGTCAGAAAATTTTGAATTTTTTTATTGAAGATTTGAATTTCTTGCAGTTCGAGTGCAGTACCATGCCACACCACCAGGGTAGCCAAATCTCAAATGAGCAGCAAAAGAAGCAGCAGTTTCATATTGTCGTCGTACAAACACACATTAAAAAAAAAGTCTGCTGCATTTAGCCCATCTTTGTAACAGGAGTTGTGGCGATGCCATGCTAGAGCTGGACCAGGATTCAAACTGGCAACCCGACTGTCACAAGACAGATCCCTTTACTGTTAGGCACAAGATGCTTGGTAAAGAAAAAAAGTTCAAGCTCCCTGCAGATCATTTAGGGTTAAAGGCAGTTCATAACATTGGCTTTTTATCTTTTAATCATACTCTGTCACTTCATGTGATTACAGTATCGACCTCAGATGCAGTGGGAATTATTTATTAGCCCTTCCATGGACAAAAGGCTCGCATAAATATTTAAGCACTCATGGTTCCTGCATCATTGGTGCTTATGGTTTTTTTTTACTCTGCCACAAACAAATCCTCCGGAGGAAATGCATAAACCGTGTTCCCTGCATGTGTTAGAAATTGGAATCAAACAAGAGACGACACGGGGACGTTTAATGCACTTCCCTCGTCCCCGTTGTGTTTCTCGTTAACTCTTAATCAGTTTGCCGGAACATCAATTAGTGTTGATTATTTATGATGCGTGTAATGAAGTTCCTGCTAAATCAAGCTCGTTGTTGTAAGGCTGGAAGCAGGGCACTCAGTGTCTCCGCGCTGTGGCACATTAATCATTCCCACACTCGTCCTCTGCCTCTCTGTGTGCAAGATAGCGAAAGATAGGAGCGAGCGAGGGAGGGAGGGATGAAGGGAGGGAGGTGGGCTCTGCACTGGCATGCAAACCTCACTGCTGCTGAAACTACCTTATCTGCTGCTGAGGTGAAGGTCAAGGCCAGCTGACCTGTCCAGTTAGGCCTTGACCCCGGGACACATACTGTCCTCTGTTTGACCACACCTAGGCCCGGTACTGTTTGTCAGTACCTGGGAACTGAGCTGAAAGCATCAACCATTTACAAAAACAGGACCAAGTCACATAGTTTCAGTTGAAAAGTTTTGGAAGTAGGACAGAACTAACAGTTAACCACCAGGGGACAGAAGTGGGTTTGAATGAAAGTTAGAATGAGAGAGTGTGTGAAAATGAGGCTGAATCTCACGTGTGTGAACATTCACACCGGCACTTCCTGTTCTAGTCCTAGAGAACAGGCTGCCAGTTTGTAGATAATAATTCCATTTAGGGGAAAATGGACAAGGAAATTTGGTAAAGTCTGACTGACAGGAAGGAAAGTCCATCTGGTGGCTAGCGGTTGACAAATTTGAACGACTTGCACTCAAAGTATTGTAAATTCATCATAACTTCTGTCATACTTGTAACACTGATGCCACTTCTGCTCCCTCTAGTGGTAAAGGGGAATCAGATTTTTCTATTGAAATGAAGCCATGTTTGTCACTAACGACAACAACATCGTAATTGACGGAAAAGTCCGGACACTGTTCATGCGGAAACGGTGGGAGAGTGGCTAGTGCTTCAAAAACATGGCGATCGTGGATTTGGTGATGCGTTCACTCTGAACTGACCGCAGGTGTGAATGTGAGTGTGAATCAGTGTGCATGAATGTTGATCTCCATTTAACCAGTGATTGTTGGGATTTGATCCAGCTCTTTCATAAAACGATGGAGGAACGACTGAATGAACGTTCCTTCAGGGCAGTGGTGTGTTGAGCAAACACAAAAAAAACTCCCCACAGAACGGCGAAGTGAAACAAACGAAAACATGTTGTCAAACAAAAACATGTTGAAAAATCACATCATTTGAATTCGCTTTCTTTTTCCGAGGTTTCGACGTGTCCCGCGATGTCAGCCAGGACCAAGAGCGATGGGGAGGAAGGAGACTCCTGCAGGAAATGGACAACAGCAGCCTGGAGGAGCTGGAGTTTGAAGAACCCAAGAACTGCACTGCCCCAGGTAAGAAGGAGAGGAGAACAAACGATCGGCCCATGTGTTGTGACTTCACTTTAATGATGTGTAGCCCAGCTCGTGGTCAGATGATTCCTCATGAGCTCGGCCTGCAGCAGGTGCTGACACTTTGCACAACACACAGCTGTTTCTACCTCCTGCCTCTGCCCCAGTGAAGGTTCTCACTCTCCGTCTCTCTGTCATGTTCTACCCCGTCTTTTTACCCCGGTGACCTCCTGAGTTTTGTTGTCAAATTTATTTATTTATTTTTTTATTTTTGAAAGCCCCTGCAATATTACACATACTGCCAGGTTTCACCCTTGGAACATGCCCGACTCTCCTGCGCAGTGTAAGGCCCCGGCCTCCTCTGTCTGCTGTGTCCACGGTGTGATGGAGGGAGGCCACTGCTGCAGATGCTCGTACCATTTGTCTCCTTCTTTTTCTGTTGGAGACAATTGACCTTCCTTTAAAGGGAAGGTCAATTCTCAGGTGAACTCATTAGGCAAAATAACCGTCATCCATCACATTTCTCATCCTCCCAAGGTCATCACTGTCATCTAGAAAAGAAGCAGAGGTCAGAGTTCAAACTATTCTCTCGTCGGCCTCGTCTATACCGTAGCTGCTCTCTCTCTCCCTATTTTCGACCCTTATGACACAGAGAAGTACAGCAAAAAATAACTGGGTGATTCTGGTGGACGGGCGGTTTATGCTCTTGCCTTATGCAGTAGCTGAATGCTTGGATCCTGTGTTGTGTGAATTTTGTGCTCATGTGCTCCACCTGATGTTTTTTGCGTGAGAACGCCTCAACTTTTTAAATCTGCCTTTGAATAATCACTGTCTCACTCTGGTGTCCTGCTCTTTGTGTTAAATTCTATTGGGATAGTTACAGCTTTACATGAAGTCATTCCTGCAGTGACCACTATGACCACAGGTCAGTGCACAGCCCCACCACTGCTGCTAAACAAGACATATATAGTGAACAAAATAAAAAAATGAAAGAGAAGATTTGACCTGGAAAATACAGAAACGTGTTCAATTTGATTGTGAGGAGTTCAGCGTCCACCATTGTCCACCATTGTCCACCATTGTCCACCATTGTCCACCATTGTCCACCATAGTCCACCGAGCATCTTGACTTAAACGTGATCATTTAGAACCAGAGCTGCAGCTGTGAGACTGATGTTCGAATGTTCAAAGTCTACGATCTGGATTTGGTCTTTGTCGTGCACACTGCTCCCGGCTCTCCCCCAATCTTACTCCCACCCTCCTGGGCATTTGGCGTGCCCCACACTTTACTGTAGGAGCCACTGCTTAAACACAGCTGATACAAACCCTGCAGGAGCTCCGTACATGATCACTTGGCCTCTGGGTTGGACAGATAGAGGTCTCTCTCCACGTGCCTCTTCTTCTCTCCTGGGGTCTTCTTCATGAGGCAGTCCTCCTCCATCTCCACCTCCTCCTCCCCTGTTTATTAAAGATTCTCTCCTCTGCACTCCGCTCCGCTCCGACGCAACACTCCATTTTAGGACAGGCGGCTGCTGTGACTTAATCAGGGCTTCCCTGTGAGGAATGTGGTGGGTTCACATGTGAGGCTGCGAGACCAACCATTAGAGGGGGAGCCTTTAGAAGACTCATGATAAATGTGAGGCTGCTGCAGCTCTACTTTCTGCCCTATGTGTGCCTGAGGGTTGGGGCTGCTGTGTTTCTTCATCACTTCCTGGCTCCATGTGGGCCGTAGGCTCAGAGGCAGGTTGGTCAGTGTTACCTAACATTGTTGATGAAGTCATTACCACAGGAAAAAAAAACAATCTCTGCTCATTTAATAGCTGCACAGTAGACTCCTGCTAATCAAATGCAAAATTGACCGAGGGAGTGTCCAGAACCACTTCATCTGAGACAGAGTCCACTCTGCTCCAGTACAGTAGCTGCTGCTGCTGGCGCTGCTGCTGCTGCCTGCCCTGGTTCTGCGCGC